TGGGGTGGTGGAAGGATGGATGCGGGGGGCTCCCCGTCCTGCTGTGATTCAGTCTGTCCTCATCTCTTCATCTGCCCCCCTGGCTCCCCCTCTGTCTGCCCCCCTGATTCCACCCCCGGCTCCCCCCTCCCTCTGCTCCCCATTCCGACCCCTTTACCCCCTGCTTCCCCCCCCATTCTTCTCCCTCTGCCCCCCGGCTCCCCCTCTGTCTGCCCCCCTGATTCCACCCCCGGCTCCCCCCTCCCTCTGCTCCCCATTCCGACCCCTTTACCCCCTGCTTCCCCCCCCATTCTTCTCCCTCTGCCCCCGGCTCCCCCTCTGTCTGTCCCCCTGATTCCACCCCCGGCTCCCCCCTCCCTCTGCTCCCCATTCCGACCCCTTTACCCCCTGCTTCCCCCCCCATTCTTCTCCCTCTGCCCCCCGGCTCCCCCTCTGTCTCCCCCCTGATTCCACCCCCGGCTCCCCCCTCCCTCTGCTCCCCATTCCGACCCCTTTACCCCCTGCTTCCCCCCCCATTCTTCTCCCTCTGCCCCCCGGCTCCCCCTCTGTCTGCCCCCCTGATTCCACCTCCGGCTCCCCCCTCCCTCTGCTCCCCATTCCGACCCCTTTCCCCCCCCCCCCCCCCCCCCCCCCCCCCCCCCCCCCCCCCCCTGCTTCCCCCCCCCATTCTTCTCCCTCTGCCCCCCGGCTCCCCCTCTGTCTGCCCCCCTGATTCCACCCCCGGCTCCCCCCTCCCTCTGTTCCCCATTCCGACCCCTTTACCCCCTGCTTCCCCCCCCATTCTTCTCCCTCTGCCCCCCGGCTCCCCCTCTGTCTGCCCCCCCTGATTCCACCCCCGGCTCCCCCTCCCTCTGCTCCCCATTCCGACCCCTTTACCCCCTGCTTCCCCCCCCATTCTTCTCCCTCTGCCCCCCGGCTCCCCCTCTGTCTGTCCCCCTGATTCCACCCCCGGCTCCCCCTTCGTCTTCTACCCACCCTGCCCCCCCCCCTCTGGCAGCTTCCCACCCGCCCTGTTTGCCCCCCCCCCCCGGCCCCCGTGTTTCCTTCCATCTCCCCCCCGTCCCTGCTTCCTTCCCTGTCCGTCCATCTGTCTGCCCCCCCCCCCAGTTGTCTGTCTGTCCGTCCCTGCTTCCTTCCCCCTCTGTCTGTCTGCCCGCCCCCCTTCCCCGTGGTTACCTCCCGAGTGGGGCCAGATCTGTCCTTGTCCCCCGCTGGCTGGAGGGTTTCACTTTCGTTTCCCGTGTGTGTGTGTGTGTGTGTGTGTGTGTGTCCCTGCCGCCCCCTGCTGGACGGAAGGAGCCCTGCTGTGTGTGTGTGTGTGATTGCACACACGCACCTCCTAGAGCAAATCCCCACAACCTCCGCCCCCTGCCCTGTCTGAGCCCAACCCGCCGCCCATTGACCAGCCTTGTGCCACCGGGCAACTCCCGCCCGGAGCAGGGCTCAGCCCAGCAGGGACCCCCAGGGCTCATCTCCTCCTCCAGCAAGGCCAAGCCCGGCACAGAGCGGATTCCCTCCCCTCCCCGCTGGGCCCTGGTCACTTAACCGCCCAGCCGGGGGCTTGCTCAGAAAAACCCAGTCCAGCCGTGCGAGCGTGCGAGACCCCTCGTGCCACCCACTCGTGCGCCACACCGGGAGCTGCGGCACTGTTTATTCACAGGCACTGGACACAGCGGGATCGAACAGCGACGGTGTTCATAACCCAGAACCCCCCCCCCCCCGCTGGCAGACTGCCGTCTCCGTCCCGGGGTCGCCTCCAGCATAAGCTCTAGGCCGAGTCCTGCAAGGGTATTGCCTCTCCCCTCGCCCCCAATTTCCTGCTCCTGCGAATATTTAAAATAGATAAACACCGGGGAGGTGGGAACGTGTCACTCACGTAATTTGGCACAACTGTGAGCATGTAGGTGATTAAAAATAAAAAACTTAAAAAGCCAGAGCGATATTATCCATCGAAATTCCACATAAACCAATCGAATTCTGCGGTGCCTGCATCTAGCCTGTGTTCGGTGTCGGCCGTGTTGCATGCTCCCTGCCGGTCATTGTGTCGCAGTGTGTGGGGGGGTGCGCCCCCACCCAGGCCCCGAACGGCTGAGTGGGGGCCTGAGATGGCACCAAGCTGCACCGGCAGAGCCAGGGGCTGGAGCAGGCGGGTGAGGATAAAGGAGGGAAGGGGGCAGCGGAAGGGGACTGCGGGGAGGGAGGCTGCAGACGCTCCCTGGGCCGAGCAGGAGCCCACGGGGAAGGAGAAGCCCTGGGGCCTCGCCTGGCTGGCGGAGGCTGGCAAGCAGCCGGGGAGGAGGGTAGACCAGCCACTGGGGTGGAGCAGGCCCAGGGAGAAGGGTGAGATTTGGACGGCCAGGGGGCCCGCTTGTGGAGGATGACCCCGGTGTCCCGATTTTATAGGGACGCTCCCGATCTGGGGGGGCTTTTTCTTATATAAGCATCTATGACCCCCCACCCCCGTCCTGATTTTTCACACTTGCCCTCTAGTCACCCTAGCCAAGCGTGAGCAAGGCCGGGTTGGAAGAGCCCGGGAACCGGCAGGCCGGAGCGGCTGGTGGTGGCAGGCTCCGGTGGAGCGGGAGGGCCCGGTTTCCCCGAGCAGCCGCTGGCTGGGCGGCGCGAGGCCAGAGAAGGGGGCCAAAGCCGTCGGAAAGCCCAGCGGCAAAGGGGAAGCCTGTCGACGCCACCCGGCTACGGCAGGAGGAAGTTGGCGACGGCAGGGAAATTTCCCTCGCCACCTGCTGTGTGGTCCCCCCCGCATGACTGCCCCTCATGCCTGATACTCGCTGCCGGCAGATGTTCAGCGGCGTGTTCTCCCTGCGTGGGGTCCCCGTCCCGCTCTGATTCAGATCTCCCAGCTCTGCGCAGACAGCCGGCTCAGCCGCCCTCCAGCGAACCGCCCCATAAATCCACAGACTCGGTTCGTCGCGAAGGAACGCGGTCAGGTTTATTGTCAGCGAAGCACGGTGCTGAGGCCCTGGCTCAATGGGTACAGGTACCCTGGCCCAGGTGTGCCGGTTGCAATGGACTGGCTCAGTTACGGGCAGGACTTTCCATTCTCCCCTAGGCCAGGCAAAGACGCTGCCTCTGTGTCTTTATTCACCGATACAAGCAAGAGCCGCCTCCCTCCGGACGTATTTGGGTGCCACCCGTTACCTTGTACGTGTTGGTTCAGTCAAAACCTCTCTATTTGTCGCCCTGTCATCTTGAGCTCATCTTTGGGATGGGTCGGCGTGTTCCTGTTCTCTTTGGGGGAGGTGTTTGGGATCGAGGGGGTCTGGTACCACCTTTCTGCAATGCGCTTGCGTCTATTCTTACGCCTAGCACGAGTGAGGGATGCGCGTTTCTGCAGGATTAGCCCTGTGCCTGCCAGATCCTGTGAGCCGGGCCTGCCTCTTGCTCACAGCTTAACTTTTGCTTTATATCAGCTTTTTGTCTTTTTGCGAGCAGGATGCTTACCCATTGTCCCACCAAAGCGTAATGCATGGACTGAAGATGACCCAGTGGGCTAAACACTGTTATGTGGCCACCTTACTTAACCATCTGTACATTCATGCCCCATCTGTCCAGGCCCGCTGACGGGGGAGGAGGGACAAAGGGGGCAATTGCCCAGGGGCCTGGGCGATTTAAAAGGGCCCGGGGGCCCGTGGCCATCGCTGCTGCTGCGGGTAGCGTCGGCCGGGAACCCCGGCTCAGGTTGGTGCCGAAGGGAGCAGTGGGGGAGCCCGGAGGGGGGCACTACTTGCAGGAAGGAAGAAAGCAGGAAAAACAAGGTAGAGCTCTGTAGCCTCCAAGGGGAGCTGGGAGCCCAGGCTGAGCAGCGGGTCCTTCCCCAGCTGGGCCTGCGCCAGGGACAGACTGTGTGCCCAGGCCAGGGGGACTTTCTCCGGCTGGACCCAGCCCCGGGCTCTGCCGCCCCCGGCCCGGAGCCACAGGCACCAGGTCCCAGAGAGACCTGGGGCCAGCACTGGGTCTGCCCCAGGAGCCGCAGGTCTCCCAGCCCCTGGGGATCTGCTCCCAGGTGGGGCACGCACCTGGGCAGGGCCTGGACAGTGATGGAGCCACCCACTACCCACCCCACTCCCTGCAGGACAGTGCCCCCTAGCGCCGCACTGGGGCTTTGGGGCCAGCCCTGACAGCCAAGGGGAGCGCGCCCCCCACTGAGCCCCTCAGCCGCAATGTCCCACCTCTGCATGCCTGTGCCCGGCTGCAGATCCTTTAGGGAAGAGCGGCGCCCACTGAGGTCCGTGGGAGCTGCCGCTTCTCAGCTTGGCACAAACTAGCCCAGTGAACCATGGGCTACGTTCTCAGAGATGGAGGCATCCAACATCCGGAGCATTTGAGGAAAGCCCAGCCCTAGACACCCCTCCCAGGACTGCCTGCCCCTGAGCTGCCAGCAACCAGCTGGGTCATAGCCCCGGATAACAGCTCTCCTAACACGTGGGGAACGTCTGGGAGTGTTCTCGACACAGGAGAGCCTCTGCGAGACATCGCAGCGCATCTGTCCAAACCCCTGCACACACTCACTCACTCTATCCATCCCTCGCCACCCCCTCTATCCATCTATCTATCCCCACACCCTCCCCTCTATCTATCCCCCATCTATCTATCCCCACACCCTCCCCTCTATCTATCTACATCTATCTATCCATCCCCAGCCACCCCATCTATCTATCTATCTATCTATCTATCCTCCATACACACCCATATCTCTCTCTCTCTTCCTCCATTTCTCTATCCATTACCTCCCCTATTTTGCTATTTCAGAGGCCTGGACAACTTTTCGGTGTGGGTGTGGGTGCGTGCTGGGGCAGGGCGGGAGGGCGGGGGGGATAGAATAAAAACCAATCAAACGACAGCCGCTGATTAGTGCTTTAATGAGCAGTTTTGCACCACAACTAAATTTGTCTACTTGACTGAAAGTGAATTAAATGAGCCTCTGTTCCATACTCAGTGTTTTCTTTCTTTGTGAACGCAATCCTGACATTTTGGGGGGTTCCACCGTGTCTGTCTGTCCATCTGTCCAGTACCGCTCTCTGGTATATGCAGGAACTCAGAGCTGGCTGCAGCTTATCCAGCAGGAAAGGGTGCGGCTGCAAATTTCACAGGGCTGCTTTTCTCTGCAGTTTTTGCTTTCCATTTGACTCCGAAGAGGGAAGCAGACAGAGCCCTGCATCGGGGTGTCTCTTGTGCTTCGCGGGGAACATCCTGCTCGCTCGGGTGGCCGGTAAGAGTTTCTGCCCAGGTAGGGGGTTAAATTGCCCCTTCCCGGTTCCCGGAGCTGCTGCCAGTCACTGGCCGTGGTTGCATTTGCAGCTGGGTATGGTTGCAAGCTCCCAGCACTCCAGAGGCCTGCTGGGCACTCGCCCTGGGCTGGGTTTCGCTGGGCACTTTCCCAGGGCCCTACTCCTTAGCCGGGGGGAAACTAGCAAAGGGCAGGTGGGTGCCCTGCTCCCAGGGGAAGCTTGAACTACGCGGGGCAGGGGGAGAAGCGGAGAGGGTTGAACAGTCCATGAGCTCACCAGGGTGGGCTATGTCTGGGCTGCAGCCAGTGTGACAGGGCCCCAATTCTGACTGGAGCTCAGGATACGGCAATAGGGAACTGATCAGTTATGATAATTAGGGACTGTAGCCCTTCCAGCCTCCCAGCTCACACACCCATGCACACACTTGGATTTGCATTCGCTTTCCCCTCATGCACAGAGGCATTGGTGTCAGGCGTGGGATCCCCTAGAACTTACCCCCGTCGGCCCAGGTGTCTCTCCTGGGGTGGTGATAGCAGAGGCAGGCCTGCTTTGCTCCTCTCCTTCTGCCCCACACATAGTCCCCTGCTGGGTTGGGGTGGGGTGGGGTGGGCAGGGAGTTAACACCCCAGTCAGATGCACAGAACAGCTACCCCCTCAGAGTGATGAGTTCAGGCTCTCTGCAGGTTCAGGCAGCAGTCCTGCATTAGCTCAAATGTACCTACATGTAATCACTTTTTTGAGTTTTTCTCACCAGTCACTAGGGTTAGGAAATTACTCTCTCTTTTTTAGTAACTGAAAGATGAGATTCTGCTGCAATCATAGAATCATAGAATATCAGGCTTGGAAGGGACCTCAGGAGGTATCTAGTCCAACCCCCTGCTCAAAGCAGAACCAATCCCCAACTAAATCATCCCAGCCAGGGCTGTGTCAAGCCGGGCCTTAAAAACCTCTAAGGAAGGAGATTCCACCACCTCCCTAGGTAACGCATTCCAGTGTTTCACCACCCTCCTTGTGAAATAGTTTTTCCTAATATCCAACTTAAATCTCCCCCACTGCAACTTGAGACCATTGCTCCTCGTTCTGTCATCAGCTACCACTGAGAACAGTCTAGATCCATCCTCTTTGGAACCACCTCTCAGGTAGTTGAAAGCAGCTATCAAATCCCCCCTCATTCTTCTCTTCTGCAGACTAAACAATCCCAGCTCCCTCAGCCTCTCCTCATAAGTCATGTGTTCCAGACCCCTAATCATTTTTGTTGCCCTCCGCTGGACTCTTTCCAATTTATCCACATCCTTCTTGAAGTGTGGGGCCCAAAACTGGACACAGTACTCCAGATGAGTCCTCACCAATGTCGAATAGAGAGGAATGATCACGTCCCTCGATCTGCTGGCAATGCCCCTACTTAGACATCCCAAAATGCCATTGGCCTTCTTGGCAACAAGGGCACACTGCTGACTCATATCCAGCTTCTCGTCCACTGTCACCCCTAGGTCCTTTTCTGCAGAACTGCTGCCGAGCCATTCGGTCCCTAGTCTGTAGCGCTGCATGGGATTCTTCCATCCTCAGTGCAGAACTCTGCACTTGTCCTTGTTGAACCTCATCAGATTTCTTTTGGCCCAATCCTCTAATTTGTCTAGGGCCCTCTGTATCCTATCTCTGCCCTCCAGCGTATCTACCTCTCCTCCCAGTTTAGTGTCATCTGCAAACTTGCTGAGGGTGCAATCCACACCACCTTCCAGATCATTAATGAAGATATTGAACAAAACTGGCCCCAGGACCGACCCTTGGGGCACTCCACTTGATACCGGCTGCCAACTAGACATGGAGCCATTGATCACTACCCATTGAGCCCGACAGTCTAGCCAACTTTCTATCCACCTTATAATCCATTCATCCGGCCCATACTTCTTTAACTTGCTGGCAAGAATACTGTGGAGACCGTGTCAAAAGCTTTGCTAAAGTCAAGGAACAACATGTCCACTGCTTTCCCCTCATCCACAGAGCCAGTTATCTCGTCATAGAAGGCAATTAGATTAGTCAGGCATGACTTGCCCTTGGTGAATCCATGCTGACTGTTCCCGATCACTTTCCTCTCTAAGTGCTTCAAATTGATTCCTTGAGGACCTGCTCCACGATTTTCCCAGGTACTGAGGTGAGGCTGACTGGCCTGTAGTTCCCCGGATCCTCCTTCTTCCCTTTTTTAAAGATGGGCTCTACATTAGTCTTTTTCCAGTCATCTGGGACTTCCCCGGATCACCATGAGTTTTCAAAGATAATGGCCAATGGCTCTGCAATCACAGCCGCCAACTCCTTTAGCACTCTCGGATGCAACTCGTCCGGCCCCATGGACTTGTGCACGTCCAGCTTTTCTGAATAGTCCCGAACCACTTCTTTCTCCACAGAGGGCTGGTCACCTCCTCCCCATGCTGTGCTGCCCAGTGCAGTAGTCTGGGAGCTGACCTTGTTCATGAAGACAGAGGCAAAAAAAGCACTGAGTACATTAGCTTTTTCCACATCCTCTGTCACTAGGTTGCCTCCCTCATTCAGTAAGGGGCCCAAACTTTCCTTGACTTTCTTCTTGTTGCTAACATACCTGAAGAAACCCTTCTTGTTATTCTGAACATCTCCTGCTAGCTGCAACTCCAGGTGGGATTTGGCCTTCCTGATTTCACTCCTGCATGCCCGAGCAATATTTTTATACTCTTCCCTGGTCATGTGTCCAATCTTCCACTTCTTGTAAGCTTCTTTTTTGTGTTTAAGATCAGCAAGGATTTCACTGTTAAGTCAAGCTGGTCACCTGCCATATTTACTATTCTTTCTACACATCGGGATGGTTTGTCCCTGTAACCTCAATAAGGATTCTTTAAAATACAGCCAGCTCTCCTGGACTCCTTTCCCCCTCCTGTTATTCTCCCAGGGGATCCTGCCCATCAGTTCCCTGAGGGAGTCAAAGTCTGCTTTTCTGAAGTCCAGGGTCCGTATTCTGCTGCTCTCCTTTCTTCCCTGTGTCAGGATCCTGAACTTGACCATCTCATGGTCACTGCCTCCCAGGTTCCCATCCACTTTTGCTTCCCCCACTAATTCTTCCCGGTTTGTGAGCAGCAGGTCAAGAAGAGCTCTGCCCCGAGTTGGTTCCTCCAGCACTTGCACCAGAAAATTGTCCCCTGTGCTTTCCAAAAACTTCTTGGATTGTCTGTGCTGACGGACGCAGGAATTTACAATTACAGTACCTAGGCCTTAATCCAGCCTTGAGTTCCTACTTGAACTGACCGTTTTAAGTCACCTGTTTAAAAACCAACTCAGAGTAATGGTGATATCCATTTCCTTCTCTGCGGCAGATGGAGTCTCTCTCAGCTCTGACGAAGGGCATTGACATTGAGTCAGACCCTAAGGGGTTTTTCAATGCAGCGCTAAAGGTTCATGAGAAATTCATGGAGCTTTTCAAGGATGGAGGCCAGGCAGAGGCAGCCGCCAAAGCTCGGGAGGATCTGGAGTCACTGGAAAACACCAAGCTCAACATTGCTGTCACAGGGGAGACGGGCTCTGGAAAATCCTCCTTCATCAATGCCCTTCGCGGTTTGGGTGCTGAAGATCAAGGCGCGGCCCAGACCGGGGTGATAGAAACAACGACCGAGCCGATGGCTTATCCCCATCCAAGCTACCCGAATGTGATCCTGTGGGACCTGCCGGGGATCGGGGCAATGGATTTTCGACCAGAGAGTTACCTCCAGAAGGTGAATTTCAGCCGCTATGACTTCTTTGTCATTGTTGCTTCGCAGCGGTTCCGATCCAGCCACGCCGACCTGGCCCAGGAGATCCAGAGGATGGAGAAGAAGTTCTATTTTGTACGCTGCAAAGTGGATGAAGACTTGGCCAATGCAAGAAGGGCTCATCCTCAAGCCTACGTCGAAGAGAATGTTCACCAGAGGATCAGGGAGCACGCCAGGAAATGCCTGAGAGACCAAGGAGCAATCGACCCCCAGGTCTTTCTTCTCTCCAACTGGGACTTAGACCAGTATGATTTTCCCTTGCTGGAGGAGACTCTGGAGAAGGACCTCCCGCATCTACAGAGACTTGTGTTCCTGCTCAGCCTCCCCAACTTCTCTCCGGAAATCATAGAGAAGAAGAAATCTGCTCTGCGTGGACACTTATGGAAAATATCCCTGGGGTCAGCTTGTATCAATGTCCTTCCCATGAGAGGTGTCTCTCTTGCCTGTGATGTTGGCCTCCTGTTGGTATCCATGATCGCCTTCTACAAACAATTCAGCCTTGACGATGACTCCTTAGCTAAGCTGGCCAGGCAGGCTGGGAAGCCTGTCGCAGAGCTCAAGGCTGTTATTGTCTCACCGCAAGGGGAAGATCTCATCCGAGATGTATTAATGAAGAAGATTGTCCAGGTTGGGTGCAGCCTCACCCGCTCAGTCGAACAATGCTTTTACTTCGTCCCAGTGATTAGCACCCTGGCTGCAGCCGGGTTGTCCTTTGCCACGTCCTACTCCGTTCTGTCAAACTTCCTGGAGAAGGTGGCTGCGGATGCACAAAGGGTTCGCAAGAAAGCTCTGGAGTAAGATGGGAAAGTGTCAAGATCGAGAGACAGAGAAACGCCATCAAGCCGAGTCTGACCCCTCATTTCCTGGGCCAAGAAACAATAATTACATTTTAAAAAAAGTTACAATACCCTGCCTCACAGGGCTGTACTGAGGATTAACCCATCTGTGTTTGTGAGACGCCTAGTGTCTACCCTAGAACTATGTCCATGGGTCGCTAAGCTGCTGATACGAACGTGCCGCTCCCATTCCAAGATGTTGTTTGGGTTGTTGCTGTCTGTGGATTTCAATGGCCTCTCATCTGCTGGAGGGTTGATTTGCATTGCCCTGATTCTTAGCCTCTCCCCTGGCATGGCTGGCGTGTGTCGAATGTCTGCTGGGGAGGGTTGAGTGGAAAGTTGATTTTTTTTGGTTCAGTGGCTGAACCAAAGCAATCTTTAAAAAAAATCAGTTCATTTAGAATGAAAACTGATTTTTTTTTTCTTGACAAAATTAAAAAAATCATTTTGGGTTGAACAAAATATTTTGTTTGCCCCTAGTTGATTTTTTCTCTCTCTTTCTTTTTTTTTTTTTGGTTTTGTTTCTGGATTTTTTTTTTACCCCTCTGCCCCCCCCTTTTTTTTTTTAGTTAAGTAAATCTAGCTACATTTCAAAATGAAACACCATTTGAAACCAAAAAGTCAAACCATTAGAAAATGTCAAAACAAACTTAACTTTTTTTTTTAAAGTTTTTAATCAGCCAACGTTATTTGTCCTGAATGTTGTAATTAGTTTTGGTCACCCTGGAAGTTCATTCTTCAGAAAATGTACTATTCAACTGAAAAATTTCACCCAACTCTTCTCCACGTTACTGGGACTGCAATATATAAACTATCGCAAAGCGGCTTATAGTGCATAAACAACAGTTGCTATAACATGCAAAGCCCAAACCCACCCTGAGATCAGCTTTATTAAGCAAGGGAACAACAGTAAAACAACAAAGATCAGCTCAGGCCTCCTCCTTAGGAGAGGCTGCTCCCAGGGTTCCTCCTTCAGCTTTGCTCTGCCCACATCCTAGGTCATCTCTCCTCAGAGACCCACTCCAACCTCCCTTAAATCCAGATGAGTCTCCCATCTAGTGACACAGCAAAACCCTCATATTCCTTTTCCAGTAGGATCAATATTTGCTAACAGGGTAGTATGTTCAGATAAACAATGCTAGCCTGTTATACATCTCTCTCTCATAGCTAGTTCTTCAAAATATCAGTTCTCTGTATTTTCTTTGGTCTGTCATCATGTTTCATGTAGAAATGGTTTTATAGTTGAATAAATTCTTATTACATTGGAATCAAGAATCTGTGTATCTCTTGTGGCAAAGTTCCTCCTCTACCTTGGTGGGTCCTGCGCTTATTGGCGGATTTGCTCGCCTTGGAGCTTCACAGCAGCCCTCAGTTTGGCCGTTTTCGTGAACCCATAATCCAGGTCGATGACTCCTGTGTCTGATCAGGAGTTGGGAGGATTTGGGGGGAACTCGGGCCCGCCCTCTACTCCGGGTTCCAGCCCAGGGCCCTGTGGAATGCAGCTGTCTAGAGAGCCCCCTGGAACAGCTGTGTGACAGCTACAACTCCCTGGGCTACTTCCCCATGGCCTCCTCCCAACCCCTTCTTTATCCTCACCACAGGACCTTCCTCCTGGTGTCTGATAACGCTTGTACTCCTCAGTCCTCCAACAGTCCACGTTCTCACTCTCAGCTCCTTGCGCCTCTTGCTCCCAGCTCCTTACACGCGCACCACAAACTGAAGTGAGCTCCTTTTTAAACCTAGGTGCCCTGATTAGCCTGCCTTAATTGATTCTAGCAGCTTCTTGATTGGCTGCAGGTGTTCTAACCAGCCGGTCTGTCTTAATTTTCTCCAGAAGGTTCCTGATTGTTCTGGAAGCTTCCCTGTTACCTTACACAAGGAAAAGGGACCTACTTAACCTGGGGCTAATATATCTGCCTTCTGTTGCTCTCCTGTAGCCATCTGGCCCGACCCTGTCACAAGATCTAAACTAGACCAGTCACTAATGAATATGCTTACTTGCCAGGGTATAAATGTATCTAATTAGTAGAACTGGTCAGAAAACTAATTTTTTTCCCCATGAGAAATTTTGAATGCAAACTGTTTGTTCAAAAATTTTTGGTCGGAAGTTTGGAACCACTTCACACAGAGCATTTTTGTTTTGAATCCCCATTTATTTGAAACCAAACTGGAATTTTAAGTCAACACAAACATTTTCATTTCCAAATTTCCTGTGGGAAAACTGACAATATATCGGGGAGAGGAAAGGGGGGGGGGGGATGTTGGTGATTGAAACTGGGATAATTCAAATTAAACTGTGGAAAAAAAAACACTTGGAAAAAATCTCTTCCAAGCCCTTAGAGAGAATTTGCTGATCAGATATTCACATTTCTTGTTTAAAAGGTGATGCACAAGGGTCTGGTGGATTTTCCATCGTTTGGGGTCTTTAAATCAAAATAGAGCGTCTTCCTAAAAGATACACTCTAGCTCAACTGTGGGCTCAATGCAGGAGTAAATCAGTGAATGTCTCTGGCCGGTGTTATATGGGTGGTCAGGCTGATGCTCTAATGTTCCCTTCTGGCTTTCAGGTCTATGAATCTGCCATAAGGAAAGCAAGAGCTGTTTGGGGAATGTCGGTCCTTTTCTCTCCATGAAATTGAGTGTGCGTGTTTTGTGTTGGTTTTGGGCAGGATTTTGCATCAAAAATGTTCAGGTTTTTGACAAAATCTAACTATTTTTGAGTGGGTTTTTTTTTAATAAAAGCTTGAAAAATATTTGAAAACAGACATTTCTGTTTCGATGGAAAAGCCACTGGCAAAAAACACTTGCTGTAAAGTTTTCGCCCAGCTCTAATGCAAAGTTCTATTTCTTCACAAGCAGAGATCTCCACCACATAGCTCCGAGTCATTATTTTTTCTACCTCTCCTCTCTCCTGTTAATCTTAATGCTGATGAGTAAAGATTATTCTTGATACATGGTCTTGTTTGCTATCTACTGGTGTCCTACCAGCCTTAAAAAATTCTCCTTTCTGTCTTCCCTTGCTTCCATTTTCCCTTTCTGTCAATATTGGCTGGCATATTTCTCCTTTCCCCCAGAAAGATCATAGAATCATAGAATATCAGGGTTGGAAGGGACCTCAGGAGGTCATCTAGTCCAACCCCCTGCTCAAAGCAGAACCAATCCCCAATTTTTGCCCCAGATCCCTAAATGGCCCCCTCAAGGATTGAAGTTACCAAAAGGTGCTGTGGCTGGTAGATCACAGGATTTAGATTTTAAGCTCCCCACTATCTCCAAGGAGGATCTTGAAGAGCTACAGGCCGCCCTTGACAAAGGAAACCTTTCAGAGGTGGCTTCCAAAGTGCAGGAATTCCTGGAGCTATCAAAAAATGCTAAGCTCAACATCACGATCAGGGGGAACTCAAGTTCCTAGAAATCATTCTTCATCAATGCCATGCTGGGTGATGATGGAAGATGATGATGAAGGTGCAGCCAGGGCTTGCATCATGGAAACGACAAAGGAACCAGTCGTGTTTCCTCATCCCAGACCCCCCCAATGTGAGGATGTGGGACCTACTTGGAATCGGGATTCCAGGATTCCGGCCCGACACCTACCTCCAGCAGGTCAACTCTGCCTGCTACAATTTCTTCATCATTGTTTCACACAGGTTCAGATCCACCCATGCTGACCTGGCCGGGGAGATCCAGAGGATGGGGGGAAAGTTCTACTTTGTGCACTCCCAGGTGGACATGGACTTTGTAACGAGAGAAGGAAAAAGAACTTCAGCCAGGAGGGTGCCCTGCAGGAAATCCGAGATGATTGCATCGAGTTTCTGCGGAGACAAGGGGTGAGCTCCCCATAGGGTTTCCTCATCTCCAGATGGGAATTCGACCAGTAAGATGCTCCCCAACTGCAAGAAGCTCTGGCAGATGAAGTCGATGCTCACAAGAGACATGTTTTCCTCCTTGCCCTACCCAGCATTTCAGACTCATCTTCGAAAGGAAGACGAAAGCCCTGCAGGGACAGGTCAGGGTACAAGCCCACGCCATCTCTGCCATTTTTCATCCATTCCTTGTGACGTTTCCCAATTGATGGACTGCATGGCAAGTTACTGCAAGAGCTTTGGCTTGGATGACAACTCCCTGGTTAACCTTGCCCAGCAGGTTGGGAAGCTCATCGTGGACTTGAGAGCTGTGGTAAGGTCTCTGATAGGCAAAGAAATATCTAGTCATTTTACTTTGAATCTGCTGGCTCAGGCTGGATCGGTTTGCATGACAAGAACCAGAAATATCCTCAATGCGATACCATTGGTCAGCAGTTTGGTGGAGTGTTTGCCTCACACTGGCCCATAAGGGAGGGTGTGCAGGAGGCAGCCAATCAGAGAGGGGCTGCGTGGGACAGCCAATTAGGGCCGGGCTGGCCCTTATAAGAAGGGCGTCAGAGCAGCTTCAGTTACTCTCTGGAGCTCAAGGAGGGAGGACTGGCTGCCTTGCAGTCAGTGTGAAGCTAGCACCCTTGACAGAGCGTTCCTGGGCAGGAACAAGGGGTCAAGAGCGCGCTTCTGACTGGCCTCTAAGACCAGCATGCTGAGGCCTGAGATAAGCGTGAAGAGGGTGCTGGAGTCACCTGGGAAGTGGCCCCGGGATAGTGGACTGCAGTTGCCACTGGGGGAGTGGTGGGACAGAGATTGCTGGTCCCCCCGAACGGGGAAACAGAGTATGGCAGAGCCAAAGGGCAGTGTCACTGAAGAGAATGCTGTGGTCCGTGGAGAGACATGGGTCCAGGAACAGAGGTGACGGCCGGTGAGACTCCACCGGAAGAGGGAGCAGTGCTAATTCCCAGAACAGCCAGCAGGGGGCACCGCAGCGGTGAGTCGCGCCCCGTCACACTCACACGGAGGCACACATGGGTTCTTCGGTCACATGCACCGTCCTGCAGAGCTTTCTGGATAATGTGGCTGAAGATGCCCAAAGGGTCCTGCTCAAGGTATTGGAGGCAGAAGAGGAAACGTGAGTTTAGGAGCACCACTAGTTCAGTAGCCCCCATGCAGAGACTCTCAAGGGAGCGGGACACCAGGGGGTGGAGTGTCTCACCCACTGGGGAAAGTTATTATGATTAATCGTTTGTATTACTTATAGACGGAGCACTGGACTGGACCGCAGGGGACGTGGAGTCTGTTTCCAGCTCTGCTGCTGGCCGGCCAGTTGACCTTGGACAAGTCACTTCTCTTCTCTGTGCCTCAGTTTCTCCATCTATGAAAACAAGATAATAATATTGACCTCCTTAGCAGAGCGCTTTGAGATCTGTGGATGAAAAGTGCCATAGAAGAGTGAGGGATTATTACAGTTATAGTTATTATGATTCATAGATTATCAGGGTTGGAAGGGACCTCAGGAGGTCATCTAGTCCAACCCCCTTCTCAAAGCAGGACTAATCCCACTGTCCCTGATCCCTAAATGGCCCCCTCAAGTCTTGAACTCACGACCCTAACTTTAGGAGGCCAATGCTCAAATCACTCAGCTATCCCTCCCCATGCTGATTGTGGTAGCATGTAGGAACACCAGTTGCATATCAACAGGTTGCAGAGTAACAGCCGTGTTAGTCTGTATTCGCAAAAAGAAAAGGAGTACTTGTGGCACCTTAGAGACTAACCAATTTATTAGAGCATAAGCTTTCGTGAGCTACAGCTCACTTCCTCAGATGCATATCGTGGAAACTGCAGCAGGCTTTATATATACACAGAGAATATGAAACAATACCTACTCCCACCCCACTGTCCTGCTGGTAATAGCTTATCTAAAGTGATCATCAGGTGGGCCATTTCCAGCACAAATCCAGGTTTTCTCACCCTCCACCCCCCCACACAAATTCACTCTCCTGCTGGTGATAGCCCATCCAAAGTGACAACTCTTTACACAATGTGCATGACAATCAAGTTGGGCTATTTCCTGCACAAATCCAGGTTTTCTCACATCCCCCCCACCCCCATACACACACAAACTCACTCTCCTGCTGGTAATAGCTCATCCAAACTGACCACTCTTCAAGTTTAAATCCAAGTTAAACCAGAACATCTGGGGGGGGGGGGGGAGGTAGGAAAAAACAAGAGGAAACAGGCTACCTTGCATAATGACTTAGCCACTCCCAGTCTCTATTTAAGCCTAAATTAATAGTATCCAATTTGCAAATGAATTCCAATTCAGCAGTTTCTCGCTGGA